CGGCTCCCAAGGAAAAAAAGGCTAGGTGAGGCAAATGGTAAAACCAAGGTTGGGCCTTGCTGGAGGAGTTTTATTCAAAGCGAACTGTCAAGGGGGGTCCCATAAATCACCCAACCGCGTTAGGGACGCAAAATCCCGGAACATAATACCGATATGACGGAAACTAGGGCGGCAAGAGTGGAACAAAACACCAGGCATAAGGCCGAGTCTTCCACCCTTTACCAAGTATATAGATGCATTCATTAAATAAGAGATATTGTGATATCCCAAACACAATCCTGTCCACCATGGAGCAATCTTCAACTTCACCTGCAACTAGCAACGCTATAAGAGGGGCTGAGCAAAGTGGTAACATAGCCAAACAATGGTTTGCTAGGAATGGTGTAAAGGTTAGAGGCTGACATGGCAATTTGGGAGGCTTGAAGAGCAAATGATAGGTAGCGCAGCAAAGCGATAGAACGAAGCAACTAGCATAACAATGATATTAGTGAGATCCAGGGTAGCGGTCATCTTGCCTGAAATCCCGCAAGGAAGAGGAACGAGTCCATGAATAAGATGAATCCATGAAGACGAATCAAGCGTACACGAACGAAACCTCACGATCGCAACGAAACGGGAACTATCGAGAGAAGCACACAACATGGTAAACACACCACACATATACAACGCATGATGCACAATCAAGCATGATGCATGACAAGGATACATGAAGCTACTCATGGCAAGAGATGATGCATACAAGAGCAACATAATAAAGCAAGTTTAAATAAGGCCGGGAACACCATATAACAATTCCGGTAAGTCCTCATATGCAAATTTCGAAATTGGTCCAGATCTGAATAAACCTCATGTTCAAGTTGTTAAAAAGCAAGTTAAGATGCACCAATATGATCTACACAAGATTCTAGTCAAGTTACATATAAAGTTCATTAGATTTGGAGCTACGGCCTAGAAGATATGAGCAAAACAAGTTAAACATGGCATTGATGCAAAATGCATACAACCATCAAGAAAACACACTCAAAACAAGGATGCAACATGATAATATGAAACTACATGCAAAATCAAGCAAGTTTCATATAGAGCACACTCAAAATGGAGCAACGGTTCAACACATACACTATACAAGTTTAAAGGACAAGCTGTCCAAAACAGCAACTAGGCATCTAGCACGCATCAAACCAATATGCTACATCATCTCAACATAAGAATAAAAGGCATGGACATGATGTACAGGTAATGCATTACAAAACATGAACACTGAGCTATCTCCAGAAATCACTAGAACATGCTCAAAAAGACATGGCAAGATTGAAAATAATAACTGTTTCAGGTTTAGCAGAAATAATATCAGGTTGCAATGTTTAGAGCTCTCAAACAACATGGTACAGGAACTTATCATGGCAAAAAAAGGCATGGAAGGAATCTAGTGAATGCATAGAACAAAAGTCCTTTACTGACCATGAGCCAAGAAAGATCATAAGATATGATGGCACCCTTGTAAACATGGAAAGTTATATGACATATTCATACATGGCAAGAACAACAATAAGTAGGCATGTTTATGAACTTGTACCACTCACCACAGAGCAATACATGGCATGACAAGGTGACTAACAGTAAGAAAACATGTTTATGAAGCTAGGCATGCCAAGGGAAAGTTCATAGGGTGCATGGATCACTAGCAAAACACATGGAAAAACTGAACTTCAAGTTAACAGGCTG